TCCCACGAAGGAAAGTCGAGGTGCATTGAGAGGAGCAAGATCAAAAGCAGACCTTTTTTTAACATGAAGGACTGCTTAAGATATATAAAATGCATTCTTGGTCTGTGATGACATTTGAACTAGATTAGACAGCCATTCAAATTCTCCATATAGAAGTCAAATATTGTATTTATCACAGGTGTTCATTGGTACATGTAGGTTCATGTAGAGTTGACCAATAGCATTAACAATCCGAACATTACTAATCATACCTTATAAAGAATTGTCTCCAGACCAAAATGAAAAGGGGTAGGCTTAATAATAATAGAACAATTGGGACTAACATATGGTTCTATTTTATTTCCATAATTCGCTTGCTCGTAGGGGTCTTTTGCAGTAGGAGGAAACCGGAGGACCCGGAGAAAACCCACGAGGTTGGATATGTGACCCTACTCCTTGTCACGTACAACCGGGGAATCGAAATCACGCCAGTTGACTCATTGACAGACTTTATGATACAGCGCGCAGGTGCTAACCATTTAGCCATCCACCCCCCAACTATCACCGAATAGTGATACTAAATTCTACTTCTTTTTCAAATTTTATTTTAAGGATATACAGAATTTATTTCTTAAAGTATATAGACAATATAGCTAATAGTAAGGTTATCATTTGGTCTTTCTTTACTTTTAGTGTTAATATTTTGATTTAAAGTCTATAATAAGTAATTGCCTAAAAGCATGATTGGCTTTGACTGTTTTATAATCTTTGGATGCCAGTAGGCTTATTAAGAGAAACCTTGAGCAAAGATTTATACAGTTAACAATGCAGTCTGATCAATGCCAATCAAGTGTCAATGCTTTTTAATTCTTTATGGCTTAAAGCTTATTAGATCCTATAAATTATATTTCACTATGAAACTTTCAACCAATGAAATTTATATATTTATTTAACTTCTTTTCATTTGATGTGTTACAATATTTTTATCTTTAATTAGATTTGTTGAAATCATTGTCCTTTTGTCTGTATACAAATTAGTTACTTTAAAAGACCTCTACACACAGACAAGAGGGCAGATGAAATTAGAGACACACAGACAAGGAGATCGAATGCCTTGTATATAATTTGTAAATAATGTATTTTTAAAACTGTATATAAAGTAATATTGAAATGAATTTGGAATTGGACTTTTAATGAACAGTGACCGCCTTCACCAGAATACTTCTCCAGTAATGAGCTATACACCCCCAATCCTAGCTCACGGGAAGAGTAAAGTCAAGTTGGAGATAACAAGAATCAGATCCTTCCTTGACTCCGCACATTAACTAAAACCACGGACCATAGAAGGTCATGTTAAAATTATACAAGTAAGCTTTATACCCGGTACTTAAAATAGCATGTTTAATCATCCATGCATCAATCAATAGCCATCCATTGTTTGTGTGTGGTGCAGTCCCCCTCTGCACTTACTATTACATGAAGAGAAAAACACCATTATCACTATCAGACTGAAACTGTGAAATAAGCACCTTTCATTTCACTTTGCGACAGTTATAAACAGTAGGCCTCAGTAGCCTAATTGTATACACAATTGTGTCCTGTCCTATGTTCCATTTCGATTGCTAATATACAATTGACAGCAAAATAATATAAACTATTGTATCTAGGTCTAATACATGTACGTAATTATAAGCCTGAAAATCATTGTGTTCTGTGTATATTCAGTTCAATTACTAAATTAATATCTAGGTCTAATCCAAACAAAAACAAAAGTTTAGGTTTAGTATCATATGTAGATCAGTAGATCTAATAATAATATTAAAGGAGCTAAATCGCTAATATTTGGGACCTACAAATTGACTCAAATGGGTCGCAACGCATATAATAAAGTAATATGAATGTAAATAAACTGATTTACATTCAATCGTTACCGTTTTTACTCTAATTTCAAAGCAGTTATGCTCGGCGAGATACGCCAGAAGTCTCAATCGAATGGAAATCTCTAGAGTCTGGTTATTCCAGTCTACACAGATAGTATTTATTGCGCATGCTCTCCAGATAAGAATATGGGGTCACCGTTTGACATGACTTGTGGAATATGTCTAACCTCGTTCTTCCGAGTCGCTTGTTACAAATTGCACTATATATGGTACACGATTCATGTACCAATCGTAAAATGTTTATTTTGTCTTAAATATTCGATTTTCAGAAGCCCATCTTTTCCCGGTAAGACCACAACACCAATGTTGATTATATATGACAAATTATTAGTGTTTTCATTTTCGAAGGTTTTGGATGATATATTGATCGAGTTACAGACTTAGCTACCGTACCCTACTTTATTAGATTGATGTCCAAAATATTCCTACCTATTTCTGCTCAATGCTCCTGGTTTAGTCACTTTGCGAACTTCAGCAGATTTCGGCAATTCTGGTACAATTTCACCGTTGCTACTTCCATTGCCTCCTAACTTTAATTTTCCAATAAATTTTGACGTTTCCGTTAACTTTTCTTGAAAACTGACTGAATGTGTCGTCAGCGGAGACGGAGTCGTTTCACTGCGAGGTCTCGACATTTCTCCGTTCGACATCGTAGTACGCTGTCTTGTTGTCGTGCAGACGACAGTAGTTGTACGCGACCTAACTGTGGCACATAGATAACAACAATGTACTACCTCTCTTCAACCATGACAATTGAATTTGAACTGTGTGATCGCCTGATGTCAAACGAACGTGGTTTTGTTTAGATTCTACCGGAAGTTATATTTTCCTGATCCTGCGCAACGCAGTAAACAATAGTCTTGTTTAACATGTCGTTTTTTAGAACACGCAAACTGAATGAGTGAATGAATGAATGGATGAAATGGGTTTTCGGTGGTTTTAACGGGAACAACCGCGTTTCCGCTTATTCTTAACCAAATTCTTCCAGGATTTATTGAGTCGTTGTTTTTTTTTACCACCCGAAAGACTATACATCATTCCTTGCCATGGATCGAGGCTCTCCTTATCTATATAATATATATATGCACCTAAATTCTAATATATAGAGAGATGCGGTGTAACGTCTACTCGACACAAACTAGGCCATTTCTCGACTAACACGTGGTTTAATTTTATTTCAATAATTCGCTTGCGCGTATAGTGATCTTTAGCAGTGGGAGGAAACCAGAGGACCCAGAGAAAACCCAAGAGGTTGGACAGGCGACCTTAAAAAATTACTCCTCTTGTCACGTACAACCGGGGAATCGAAACCCCGCTAGTTGATTCAATGACAAACCTTATACAGCGCGCACGTGCTAGCCATTCGGCCATCCAAACCTCCAAAATTTTAATAACGATGATATAAGGTTCAAAAGTGCAATATCGTCGAATGATATATATATTGATAAGTATTTGGATCCTTTAATATGAATATAAATAATAATGTTTCCAAGGCGCGCAGAAGGCGCTAACTATATCAGTTGTCGATTCAAAATAGCTATCAGTCAGTGGGCTAGAGCGTCCATATTGGGCAAAAAATGCAATATACAATGTATGTTCTCAGGATCAATGCTAATAAATAAAAGCGATGGAATTTTACAGTGCGCCACCCACGCGCCACTGAGCCATCGTAAAAATAATTTAAAGTGTACGTTTCTGTACCGGATAAACAAACGACTTAAAGATACGTAGCCTACATTATGGGAGATTAGATAAAGAGATGGCAGTTCTCACTATAATAGTTAAAAACTAGATAATGTAAAGGCAATTTGCTGAAAATGTATAATTAAACATACATTATGCAAGAGCTAAATCTGTCTATTGCAGGTCTTTCTTTGGGCCTGAAATGTTATCTAAATTATTAATTAGACACTAATTAACCATAATCAACTCTAGATGGAATCCCTAGCCTGCGATCTTTAGTGGATTGTGAGCCGATTTAACGATTAAATGGCTAATCGAGACTGTTTATCGTACTGACTTTAGTAATGATGATCAAGGCTAGGCGGAAATTCAATTGCTTTGTTCTCGGTTCATAATGGATCAATTTGAATGAAATTTTCAGCAAATTCCCTTTACATTATCTAGTTTTTAACTATTATAGTGAGAACTGTCAACTCGTTATCGAATCTCCCATAATGTATCTTTAAAATTTTAAATAACAAGAAAGATCCGCATTTGGCAGATTTAGCTCTTGCATAATGTATGTTTAACTATGGCTTTTAAAATCCATTGAACAAATTAATATTCCAACGAATACAAAAAGTTATTTTATTGAACTCCGTGATACTTTTTGGGAGTGTTATCCCGGGGACAAACCATCGCCCGACCCCCCCCTCCCCCGCCCCCCTTGAATCCGCGCCTGTGTGTGAGAAGGTGTGAGATGGGGAAGGGTGCGGGGGGGGGGGGGGGTCCAATCAAAGAGAAATTAAAATTAATTTGAAATTGGACATTAATTAACATTTCCAGACCATAATCAACTCTCGATGCCATCGTTAGCCTTCGATATTTAGTGGACTTGAATTCATTTTGTGATAAATAATTTAACGTAAAAGTGGATATTTGCGAATTTGTTTATTATCGTACCAGCGTTAGTAATGACGATCGAGGCTAGCCTAAAATTGAATCTCTAATATTTCGGTTCAGAGTGAAACAATTTAACTGAAATTTTCAGCATATTCCTTTCTCAGTATCCATTTAAATATTATAGCGAGAACTGTCAGCCCTTTATCTAATCTTACATAATGCCCCTTTAATTTGGATAAACAGTTTACTTCATCTGTTTTTACATATTTAAAACATATTTAAGATAATGCGATACGCCTATTGCTCCGTTGGTTTGATCGCGTACTGCGGTAGGTCAGGGGTTCGAATCACATCGAGCACAAACGCGAAAACTTTCTAAAAACATATACATGTATAGTGTTTGTTAAAATGAATTATTCTGGAGAACGAGGTATAGCGCCTAAGCTGGTATAATAATGTACAGACAGATGGTACAGGTGTAACTAACTTCGAGGTAAACGCAGCTTGAATGAATGGGTGTTACCAGAGAAAATCTTTTTTAGCGCATACACAATGAATGGGTATTCCTGGGAAAATATCCTTAGCGCATGCACAATAACTATCTTGTTGTAGGCCATATTGATAAGCTAAAGTTAATAACATCGCGGTATTAATTGTGTAAAATTCAGGTGAGTCCAAATTACTTTTATGATTAAATGTTCTTAATTTATAGAACTACATTTTGAGGTTCACTGGGAGTTGGCATATTTTAAAATATTTTCCGAATTAAATAATTATTTTTTGGGTTGGTGGAGAACGTCGTCGTGCCCCCTAGCTACTGTCTGCTACCAACGACACCGCTACATTTGTGTTTTTTTTTAAATATTAAGTCTATGTTAACATCTCGCCTTTTCTCTCGAATCTAAATGGGTTCGAAGAAAGAATTCTCAAAACGACAAGGTAAAATAGAGAACAGTAAGATTTTGACATAATATATGTTTAATATTTTCATAAGGAAGTATTTTATTTTACGTTTTGAGTTGGTTATTTCCATCATTTCTTATAAAATAAAACTTTGTGCATTATCCATATAGTATTCCATCTGCAATCGCAGGTAGATTTAAATATAGTTTGGCTCAAGAAAAAATTATTAAAACAATTTTTAAGCATATTTATTCTAAGGGCCACTGGGTGGTTTCATTGGATTCGAAACCGAAACTAGTAACGACGTAATGTGCTACCACTCGGATTATGTCAACAAGTTATAAATAAATATAACATTTGACTATATGTATGTATATGCATATCCGTGTCAGCGATCTGACATTAAGCTGTTGGTTCATAAGATAGCTAAAACTGTACAGTCCATACCGACTATTATCTTCTTATTATTTGAGAAACCATGGTAGATTTATCATTCAAGCTTTTACAACGTTCATGGTTGGTGAGATAAACCATGATAGGTACATTCAAGCTCTTATAACGTTAATGGTTGGTGAGAGAAACCGAAATGACATTTCCAACCTCGTGGGTTTTCTCCGGGTCCTTCGGTTTCCTCCCACTGCTTAAGACCCCTACGCGCAAGCGAATTATTGAAATAAAATTAAAACCATATGTTAGTCCCGAAATGACCTAGTTTGTGTCGAGTGGACGTTAAACCCCATTTCTCTCTCTCTCTCCGAAATGACATGAAATGAAATGGGGTGTAACGTCCTACTGTTTTGCTCCGAACCGGGATAATAAAGACGGGCACTCGCTATACAGTGTGCTATGAGGGAAATTTTGCCCGGGCAGTGGCACTACGGCCTACTCTTATATCGAATTCCAACTGTCAAGAGATCTTTTACGTGCACGCCAATGTGTACACGGGACCTCGGTTTTTCGTACGCTCCGAACGACTAGACAGCTGTTCTTGTCAGGCCCTCTGTCCTGTATCAGTCGGAAAATCTGGGTGAATTTTCTCGGCCAATGCAGGGATCGAACACTCGACCTCCACGCTAGCGAGCCAGCGCCTTACCCACTTAGCCACCGTGACCCCCTTGAGAGAAACCATTGCTAGGTACATGTGCATTCAAGCTCTTATAACGTTCATGGTTGGGGCAGTGTGAAGTTAGCTCGATTTTCGTTTTTCGTTTTTCGATATTGGTGAATAACGAAAAACAAGCTACTCGTTTTTCGATATTGGCGAATAACGAAAAACAACTAGCTCGTTTTTTGATATTGGCGAATGTGTAGCTTGTTTTTCGATATTCAAACTTGAATCTCAAAAAAGTATATTTGATGGTTGTATATCTACAGAATTTCTCCAAAACACATTTGGTTAAATACGTTTTCTAAAACGAACTAAAAATATCATAAATGAGGATGCCTGAGCAGTGGATTCACATAAAACTGATATTTCTCCTTGTTTTTTGATATTGGCGAATCTCGAAAAACGAGCTACTCGTTTTTCGATATTCAAACTTGAATCTCAAAAAAGCAGATTTGATGGTTGTATATCTACAGAATGTCTCCCAAACACATTTGATTAAATCAGTTTTGTAAAAAGAACTAAAGATATCATTAATGAGGATGCCTGAGCAGTGGATTCACATAAAAATTACTCTTTCTACTTGTTTTTTTGATATTGGCGAATGTCGAAAAACGTGTAGCTTGTTTTTCGATATTCAAACTTGAATCTCAAAAAAGTAGATTTAATGGATGTACATCGACAGAATGTCTCCAAAACACATTTGATTAAATCAGTTTTGTAAAACGAACTAAATATATCGTAATAGAGGTTGCCTGAGCAGTGTATTCACATAAAACTGCTCTTTCTCCTTGTTTTTTGATATTGGCGAATCTCGAAAAACGAGCTACTCGTTTTTCGATATTCAAACTTGAATCTCAAAAAAGCAGATTTGATGGTTGTATATCTACAGAATTTCTCCAAAACACACCTGATTAAATACGTTTTTTAAAACGAACTGAAAATATCATAAATGAGGAAGCCTGAGCAGTGGATTCACATAAAACTGATATTTCTCCTTGTTTTTTGATATTGGCGAATCTCGAAAAACGAGCTACTCGTTTTTCGATATTCAGGCTTGAATGTCAAAAATACAAATTTTAATCATGTATATGTACAGAATGTCTCCAAAGCACATTTGATTAAATCAGTTTTGTAAAACGAACTAAAGATATCATTAATGAGGATGCCTGAGCAGTGGATTCACATAAAAATTACTCTTTCTACTTGTTTTTTGATATTGGCGAATGTCGAAAAACGTGTAGCTTGTTTTTCGATATTCAGGCTTGAATCTCAAAAAGCACATTTGATGGATGTATATCTACAGAATGTCTCCAAAACACATTTGATTAAATACGTTTTCTAAAACGAACTAAAGATATCATTAATGAGGATGCCTGAGCAGTGGATTCACATAAATATTACTTTTTCTCCTTGTTTTTTGATATTGGCGAATCTCGAAAAACAAACTACTCGTTTTTCGATATTCAGGCTTGAATGTCAAAAATACAAATTTTAATCTTGTATATGTACAGAATGTCTCCAAAGCACATTTGATTATATAAGTATTCTAAAACGAACTAAAAATATCATAAATTAGGATGCCTGAGCAGTGGATTCACATAAAACTGCTCTTTCTCCTTGTTTTTTTTTATATTGGCGAATCTCGAAAAACGAGCTACTCGTTTTTCGATATTCAAACTTGAATCTCAAAAAAGTAGATTTAATGGATGTACATCGATAGAATGTCTCTAAAGCACATTTGATTAAATCAGTTTTGTAAAACGAACTGAAGATATCATTAATGAGGATGCCTGAGCAGTGGATTCACATAAAAATTACTCTTTCTACTTGTTTTCTGATATTGGCGAATGTCGAAAAACGTGTAGCTTGTTTTTCGATATTCACGCTTGAATCTCAAAAAAGCACATCTGATGGATGTATATCTACAGAATGTCTCCAAAACACATTTGATTAAATACGTTTTCTAAACCGAACTAAAGATATCATTAATCAGGATGCCTGAGCAGTGGATTCACATACAAACTGCTCTTTCTCCTTGTTTTTTGATATTGGCGAATCTCGAAAAACGAGCTACTCGTTTTTCGATATTCAAACTTGAATCTCAAAAAAGCAGATTTGATGGTTGTATATCTACAGAATTTCTCCAAAACACATTTGGTTAAATACGTTTTCTAAAACGAACTAAAAATATCATAAATGAGGATGCCTGAGCAGTGGATTCACATAAAACTGATATTTCTCCTTGTTTTTTGATATTGGCGAATCTCGAAAAACGAGCTACTCGTTTTTCGATATTCAAACTTGAATCTCAAAAAAGCAGATTTGATGGTTGTATATCTACAGAATGTCTCCAAGCACATTTGATTATATAAGTATTCTAAAACGAACTAAAAATATCATAAATTAGGATGCCTGAGCAGTGGATTCAAATAAAACTGCTCTTTCTCCTTGTTTTTTTTTTTTATATTGGCGAATCTCGAAAAACGAGCTACTCGTTTTTCGATATTCAAAATTGAATCTCAAAAAAGTAGATTTAATGGATGTACATCGACAGAATGTCTCCAAAACACATTTGATTAAATCAGTTTTGTAAAACGAACTAAATATATCGTAATAGAGGTTGCCTGAGCAGTGTATTCACATAAAACTGCTCTTTCTCCTTGTTTTTTGATATTGGCGAATCTCGAAAAACGAGCTACTCGTTTTTCGATATTCAAACTTGAATCTCAAAAAAGCAGATTTGATGGTTGTATATCTACAGAATTTCTCCAAAACAGACTTGATTAAATACGTTTTTTAAAACGAACTAAAAATATCATAAATGAGGATGCCTGAGCAGTGGATTCACATAAAACTGATATTTCTCCTTGTTTTTTGATATTGGCGAATCTCGAAAAACGAGCTACTCGTTTTTCGATATTCAGGCTTGAATGTCAAAAATACAAATTTTAATCATGTATATGTACAGAATGTCTCCAAAGCATATTTGATTAAATCAGTTTTGTAAAACGAACTAAAGATATCATTAATGAGGATGCCTGAGCAGTGGATTCACATAAAAATTACTCTTTCTACTTGTTTTTTGATATTGGCGAATGTCGAAAAACGTGTAGCTTGTTTTTCGATATTCAGGCTTGAATCTCAAAAAGCACATTTGATGGATGTATATCTACAGAATGTCTCCAAAACACATTTGATTAAATACGTTTTCTAAAATGAACTAAAGATATCATTAATGAGGATGCATGAGCAGTGGATGCACATAAATATTACTTTTTCTCCTTGTTGTTTGATATTGGCGAATCTCGAAAAACGAGCTACTCCTTTTTCGATATTCAAACTTGAATCTCAAAAAAGTAGATTTAATGGATGTACATCGACAGAATGTCTCCAAAACACATTTGATTAAATCAGTTTTGTAAAACGAACTAAATATATCGTAATAGAAGATGCCTGAGCAGTGTATTCACATAAAAACTGCTCTTTGTCCTTGTTTTTTGATATTGGCGAATCACGAAAAACGAGCTAATCGTTTTTCGATATTCAGGCTTGAATGTCAAAAATACAAATTTTAATCATGTATATCTACAGAATGTCTCCAAAACACATTTGATTATATAAGTATTCTAAAACGAACTAAAGATATCATAAATGAGGATGCCTGAGCAGTGGATTCACATAAAACTGATATTTCTCCTTGTTTTTTGATATTGGCGAATCTCAAAAAATTAGCTACTCGTTTTTCGATATTCAAACTTGAATCTCAAAAAAGCAGATTTGATGGTTGTATATCTACAGAATTTCTCCAAAACACATTTGATTAAATACGTTTTGTAAAACGAACTAAAGATATCATAAATTAGGATGCCTGAGCAGTGGATTCACATAAAACTGATATTTCTCCTTGTTATTTTGATATTGGCGAATCTCGAAAAACGAGCTACTCCTTTTTCGATATTCAAACTTGAATCTCAAAAAAGTAGATTTAATGGATGTACATCGACAGAATGTCTCCAAAACACATTTGATTAAATCAGTTTTGTAAAACGAACTAAATATATGGTAATAGAGGTTGCCTGAGCAGTGTATTCACATAAAAACTGCTCTTTGTCCTTGTTTTTTGATATTGGCGAATCCACTGCTCAGGCATCCTAATTTATGATATTTTTAGTTCGTTTTAGAATACTTATATAATCAAATGTGCTTTGGAGACATTCTGTACATATACATGATTAAAATTTGTATTTTTGACATTCAAGCCTGAATATCGAAAAACGAGTAGATTCGCCAATATCAAAAAACAAGGAGAAATATCAGTTTTATGTGAATCTACTGCTCAGGCCTCCTCGTTTTTCGAGATTCGCCAATATCAAAAAACAAGGAGAAAAAGTAATATTTATATGAATCCACTGCTCAGACATCCTCATTAATGATATCTTTAGTTCGTTTTAGAAAACGTATTTAATCAAATGTGTTTTGGAGACATTCTGTAGATATACATCCATCAAATGTGCTTTTTGAGATTCAAGCCCGAATATCGAAAGACAAGCTACACGTTTTTCGACATTCGCCAATATCAAAAAGCAAGTAGAAAGAGTAATTTTTATGTGAATCCACTGCTCAGGCATCCTCATTAATGATATCTTTAGTTCGTTTTACAAAACTGATTCAAGTTTGAATATCGAAAAACGAGTAGCTCGTTTTTCGAGATTCGCCAATATAAAAAAAACAAGGAGAAAGAGCAGTTTTTTGTGAATCCACTGCTCAGGCATCATAATTTATGATATTTTTAGTTCGTTTTAGAATACTTATATAATCAAATGTGTTTGGAGACATTCTGTAGATATACATGATTAAAATTTATATTTTTGACATTCAAGCCTGAATATCGAAAAACGAGTAGCTCGTTTTTCGAGATTCGCCAATATCAAAAAACAAGGAGAAAGAGCAGTTTTTATGTGAATACACTGCTCAGGCATCCTCTATTACGATATATTTAGTTCGTTTTACAAAACTGATTTAATCAAATGTGTTTTGGAGACATTCTGTCGATGTACATCCATTAAATCTACTTTTTTGAGATTCAAGTTTGAATATCGAAAAACGAGTGGCTCGTTTTTCGACATTCGCCAATATCGAAAAACGAGCTAGTTGTTTTTCGTTATTCGCCAATATCGAATAACGAGTAGCTCGTGTTTCGTTATTCGCCAATATCGAAAAACGAAAATCGAGCTAACTTCACACTGCCCATGGTTGGTGGGAGAAACCATCTACACACGTCGAAGTTCTTATGACGTTCATAGTTGGTGAGAGAAACCAGGGCCCTCCTGGGAAAAAAGTTTCAGTGACGCCCCCATCCCTGCATACTGTAACTGCTTTGTCCAGTTTACCTGTGCTCAGTTTACATTTTATGATTAAAGGAATTTTAAAATACAACTTTTTATACGTTTAATACTTTATCTAAATAACTATTTATTAAATCAACCTTTATGTTTATTTTCCCTTTAACTCTCCATTTCATCGAAATTTCTGGTATGCACTTAGATAATTTGCCCCCCCCCCACCCCCACGCCCCAAAAAAGTGTCGCCCCTGGCATAACATAGGCCTGGTGATACCACATATGTAGGGGTGGATCGCAGCATTGCCGTGGGCGAACACACACACATGCAAACGTACACACACACACACACACTCCCACACCCACACACACACCCACACATCTTTGATTTTATTTATTTAGATGACACTAGTTGGACAACGCGTTGTAAGAGGGCCTCATTGGTCTGGTGGTGATGTTGATGGGGGAGAAGGACATGTTGGTACGATTGTTAGTGTTGGTGGGTTAGAAACGGCAGAAGTTGTCTGGGATAATGGTAAACGTAACAGCTGTAGAATTGGCAAGGGTGGAAAATATGACCTGAGAGTCTTGGACAACGGTACAACCGGTGAGAATTTTAATTCCTTCGTCAATTTCCGAAATGTTTGAACTTTCTGTGTGTCTTTTCTTTTGAGAAGAGACGCCTTTAGCTAAAGATGCCAAATATCCATATTGAGAAAAAGCCACCATTTGTATAATAAACAAATGATTGTTGTCCCATATAATCTCTAAATAATATCTCTAAAGGATTAGTATCAACGATTTTGTTGCGTTTCGAGTATCTTTGGGCTAATTTCTTGTCGGGGTTTGGGCATACCTGGGCTAATACGAAATGAAATGGGGTTTAACGCCCTGCTGTTTTAATACGACTTGGCTAATGAAGACGGCTAATACTTCCACTAATTTCGTGTAGCCTTAAGAAACGTATTACTTTTCTGCAGCGGAAGCAAAGACAGGAGTTACTTTTTGTATATAATGGGTCAATATATTGAGAAAAATTGCATTGATCAAAAGATTTTACGTGTAGACCTTTAACGATGGGCTATTAAAGGCCCTCGGCCCTCTTATTATTCTTTCACTTTTTTAAAGGCGTTCGACATACTCAGTTTATATGTACTGTGTGTTCTGAAAGAGGAATATTTGGAATGAGATGGACTTGTAATGTCTGTAAAGACTGTCATCTTTGCCCGGTGTGTTACGTCACAGATAAACACGATATACAACACGAGTTTAAAAGATATGTTACGCCAGGCGATCCAGGGTATGGATGTGCTTATATGTTTTGATAAATGAAATGGGGTTTATCGTCCTACTGTTCTGCACCCAAGGGGTTAATGGGTACCGTCAGACGCCATACAGTGTGCTATGAGGGACATTTTGTCCGGATAGAGGTACTTCTGCCTACTGTCAAGGGGTCTTTCACGTACGCGTCCACGTGTACACTAGACATCGGATTTTCGTTCCATCCGAAGGACTAGATACGCTTTCTTTCCAGGCTCCCCGTCCTCCGGCACAAAACCACACTAAAAAAAACACGTCGTACTTCTCGGACAACATCTCGATGCAACATCGGCCCATCTGGTTAGTGAGCCAGCGGCTTTCTGATGGGGATACCGTGGCTCCATATTCCCGGTAGAAGATAACCTCGTGAACTACAGAACAGCAGACCACGGCCTTTTCGAGATAAGGACACAAACTTCATTGTTACCCAAATTCCAATTCCATCCGATTGTTAAGCCAGATCGTTTACTAATTATAGATCGACCATTTTATCTTTTTAGTACACTAGTGCCGAAACGGGCGACCAGTGTTAAACACCAATCTATGGGTATCTTTCCTGGTGCCATTGTAAAGAGAGGTTGTGATTGGAAATGGAGAGATCACGACGGTAATATACGATATAAATTTATTGGAATAAAATGAAATTGGCTCTTACTTTTTAGCATCAACCGGGAGAATTAATAAGGTGGATATAGGCTTACGACATACAGTGTGCTGAGCGAGGAATTTTGCCCGAACAACGGGCTACGCGCCGTGAGATATTTAACGTGTTGGCGACGGTATACACGGATCCCCGTTATTTTGTCTCATCCGAACAACTAGACGCGTGTCCTTGCGAGGCCCTCCTCCCAGTAGGCTATACTCACAGGGGGTAATGTATTGTGTTCAGAGACAACTTATCGATTTCTGCTTTTCATGTAAATGTATACATAAATATGATTATTTATCAATCCGCGACAACTTTTCTTTCGGTTCTTCGGTGATGTTTGGTACACATTGGTATTCTTATTTTTCTCGTGCACTCTTTAGGTACTATTTTGCCTTGCGAAACCTGCAATTTGCCAATTAGTTAAATCCGCAATTAACCTTTTTGTGGGCAATTACGTCATTATAATCCTAACCCTGGATTTTTAGATTTTTATTATCTAAATCCTAACCCCAATTTTAGATTTAGATTGCATTCCCAACAAAATAAAATTTATTTCTAGAACTGTTGGCAAAAAATATCGCAAAATCTATTTTATGAAATAATTTTAAATTCATGGGAAGTAACTCCAAATTGTCATTGATTTTACAGCAAAAGGGCAACAGAAATTCGCCATGCAAACGGGACTATAAATATAAGGGATTACATTTGTGGGTAACCAATTGTAGGAATTTGTGCGTGTCCTGTGTCAAGATATAACGTCACCAACTGGAGGAATATTTTGGTGTGATGTGTCCATGTAACGTCAAAATTAGTGCAGTCCTTCGAGAACGTTATAAGCGTATTCTACTGTACTTTGTTTCTGTTCAACAGGTGGTGATGGTAAGACTGGTAAAGTGCTAGCTATAGAGAACAGTGACAAGTGGAATTCTGTCAGAAACAGTATCCGTGTCAAATGGTCATCAGGTGATGTTAATGTCTATCGACTTGGTGCAGAAGGTGGGAAAATAGATTTACAATTTGTACAAGAATCGCGTGGTGTATTTTATTACCGGGATCACCTGCCTGTCTGCGGTAAGTATTCCCAATCATTCTCTCAAGCAGTTGTCTTCCCTTGCCAGTTCACACTGATGCCTGATGGCAGACTTGGTGGTGACTGATTCCCAATTTGTAAACGAATATGTATATATCATTACCCTACAAGAATCACCTGGATTACAAAGCCTGTCTGTGGTAAGTATTACCAATTCATACAAGAACCATGAGAGGTATGTGTTATTACCCTCCTAGATAAGAAACCTCATCCCCTAACCCCCCGTGTTTCGAGATAATAGATGGTACTATATAGATCCACCTGTTAATCCCGATGCAGATCAGATCGGGATTTTAAAGATACATTATGGGAGATTAGATAAAGAGCTGGCAGTTCCCACTATAATAGTTAAAACTAGATAATGTAAAGGGAATATGCTGAAAATGTCAGTCAAATTGATCCACTTTGAACCGAGATTTTAGCGATTGAATTTTCCGCCTAATCTCGATCATCATTACTAAAGTCGGTAGGATAAAAAACATAGTCTCGATTATCCACTTCATGATTAAATTATGAATGGAAGCCGAACAGCAAATCGGAACCTAATCCAATAAACATCGCAGGCTAGCCATGACATCGAGAGTTGATTATGGTCTGGATAAGTTAATTAATGTCTAATTAATAATTTAGATAACATTTCAGGCCTAAAGAAAGACCTGCAATAGACAGATTTAGCTCTTGCATAATGTATACCTAACATTTTTTTTCTTCAAAACTACGACTGATTATTGTGATTTATAACATTTCTGTCACATCCAACTACAATAAAGCATATAATCCCACCTTACACGCGTATAAACCATCGCCTTTTCAGTCAAAGCGATAATAGCTGGCTTTATTCGGCATTTTAAATTTGGCATCTTTACGTCATGAAGGCGGCAGGGGCGGATCCAGAGGGGGGGGGGGCGTTGGGGGTCCAAACCCCACCCTGCTCAGCTACATAAAATAAAATGAATGCCTTTCATCAATGAAATTAAATCAGAATGTGATCCTACATCATTACAAAAATGAGTTCTCTCTTTAAAAAGCTCAATTTGTATGTATGCCTATGTAATTTAGAGACGATGATGACAGATTTCCTTAACAGGAACCTGGCAAACCCCCTCCTGCAAAAATTGCTGTCGTATACAACAACCAATCAAAGTACAAATGCACTGTAATTATGTCCGTATTAATTTTGGTAAAAACAACGCCTGATGATTATTCACTTTATTGACAATATTTGCAGATAAACGAAAGATGTTTCACTAGATTGGGCTGTGTAATGTGTGTATGTTTAATAAGTTTTAATAGTATAAAATTAACTTATTTTTAATATCTTACATGCATTAATAATAAAATTAAGTTTGTCAGGTGAAACTAAGGACATCCAGTCGTAGCTAAAATATATCTCAACGTTTTTAACTACGTTCTCGTAGCTATTACCCTTCCTGTCTCAGATAAGTATTCTCAATTTGTCCAAGAATCATGTGGTATGTATTTTAAGTCAAGTGTATTCGGGACCTCGGTTTTTCGTCCTACCCGAACGACTACAAGAACTTCGAATCTTTTCCTTATAGAGAAACCAAAAGAAAACGCTTCTCCAAAAGATCAAGAACGTGATTTAGTTACCAACACAGAGGTTTTAAAAGAAGGTGATCGGGTGTGTATAATGGTCTCTTCGGAAAAAATTGAAGAACTCCAGAAACAGCATGGTAGTTTTTCTAAAGGAATGTTAGGTGTAAGTTTACATACAATGCCTTTTGATTAATTATTGCCGGTGGTGGGGGGGGGGGGCAAAAGGTTAACGCGTGTGAGTTAGATCATAAGGTCTGTCATTGAATGAAGTGGCGTGGTTTCGATTCCTTGCTTGTACTTGACAAGGTATAGGGTCGCCTGTCCACGTTGGTGAGTTTTCGACGGGTCCACCAGCGAATTATTGAAATACAATTGAACCATATGTTAGTCCCGTAAATTTTTAATTAAAAGATGCTTTAAAACAATCGACAACTCAAACCCATGGACCCCGACGTTTCCGTCTACTTTTTTTTGAAGCAATACGATCTGATTAAAATACAGATCTATATTTCGTTTCGTTTTTTTATACGTTTGATGGCCTACACTACATGAAGATCTAATCTGTTGTATTGGGAGGTCGCGTCAGAGGTGATTCGAGCGGCCTTTGACCCTATGACATCAGACATCTGAGTAACCAATCAGCGTTGATGTTTCTAGTGGATTACCCACAGTTCCAAAAACTTGCCGTAACAGACCGTTCCATTGGCTAATCTCCCACATCATACAGAACGCAGGCGATATAACACTTCTTCCAGATTCTAGTGTAGTAAAGACAAGTAAAACCAAATATTGAACTATAAAACACGAAACGAAATAGGATCTGCGTTTTAATCAGATTGAAAGCTATAGAAATACAATATACATGTATAATGATTCATTTAAATAGCTTGCATATCAACCATTTATTCGTATTTTTGCAGTGTGCTGGAAAGACCGGGGAAGTTACAGGATTTGTTCAAGGCGATGCATTGGTCGAATTCGGTGATTTTAAGTTTCGATTCTTCCCAGGATTGCTGAAAAAAGTAAGTTATTATTCAAATATATTTCAAAAAGAAATCACAGATTGTGTGTTATTTTTTGGTGTGGGGGGGGGGGGGAGTACGGGGTACAACAGATTTTGATAAAAAAAAAAGGGTTATTTGTGTGTTTTTGTCCCAGATTTTCATGAACAGTCTTATTATTGGGTTTTGTCCCAAATTTCCAACCTAATGTTGGATTTCTCTTCCTATTGTGTAGGTTTATGAACTTTAATGTTGGTGATATTGGATTTCTCTTCCTATTGTGTAGGTTTATGAACTTAAAGTTGGGGATATTGTTCGCATTTTGTCTGATGAAGAGAAAGTGAGAATATTACTAGAAAATCACGGAGGTTACAACAGCAAGATGAAACAGGTAATTCTATTTTTACTAAAAATGAGATATACAGGAATAGTCGAATTATCTTGTCTGAAACATTCAACTTAAAATATTGATCCTTTTCCAAGTGATCATTACGTCTTGACCATAATATATGAAATACAACCTTAAAAGAACCAATTGCCTGATTCATGGAAAGGGTCACCTTTTATATTCTCAGTTTGACTCTGATTGGAGCCACCGTGGCTCAGTGAGTAAGACGTTCTCTCGCTAACCTAAAGGTCTCGTGTTCATCTGGATTTTCCGGCCCGGTTCCCACTTGTAAGTCTGACAAGGAACAGGGTATAGTCGTTCGGATGGGACACAAAACCACGAGAAACTTTGACAGTTGGAATTCGAAATAAGAGTAGATCGCGCAAAATTGCCCTCATAGCACACTGTATGGCGTATATCCGTCGTCATTAGCCCAGTCGGTGCAGAACAGTAGGACGTTAAACCCCATTTCCTTTCATTTGACTTTGTCTCTTGGTTCATGTCGATTTTACTCGTATTTCCGCAGTACCTAGGTAAAGTTGGACAAGTAACTAAGATAGATTCTGATGGTGATGCTGTTGTAAAGTTTGGTAGAAGAGTGTGGGTGTATAACCCGGCTTGTTGTATACCAGCACCAGGTGAAATGATCGATGAAGAAGAAGAAGAAAGTGATGACAGTGATACTGTTGATATGTCAGGTACTGACTGACTTATTTTAATTCGCATACTTATCGTAAAATGGTTGAATTAATAACATAGGAATGTGAGTTTGTGACCCATTGAAAAAAGATGAACAGATAAATAGGGTTTAACGTCCACACAATACAGCATATAGAACAAGTGGCATCTTGTTAAAAATGAAAGGAATTGAATCATTTCTGAACTGACATTCCTATTAGAGAGTAAACTTTTAAAATACTGTAGTTTGCAAGGGATTCGTATAGCAATAAATGCCGTATCGAGCACAGGGCCCTATCTAGCGGGGGTGCAGGGGGTACATTGCACCCCCAGAAAAATAAGGCGCCCCAAGAAATTGCGCCCCCACCCCATCCAAAAAAAACAAACCCAAAATTATTTGACAATCTTTCAATTATAAAATAATACACTTGATTGTATGATCACACAGTGATGCTCTTAATGCACTGATCAGTCGATCGGTTTTAAGGGCGCCCACACGCCAATAGGTTCGTTTGCTCTGATCCAAACTTTCTTATATCACATACGTGGAGGCTATGGCGCCCCACCACTCTGCCGCACCCCCACTTTTAAAATCCTGCATACGGCCCAGATCGAGCCTTTAACCAATGTGGCACTACTCGTTAGTCGAATATGGAAAGCAAAACCGTCAAAAGCTTACCACATCCGAAGTGTGGCACATTTTCAGCTAAACATCTTTGTATCGGCCTTGATCTCTGGGTTTGACTGGCGTGGATACTGTTGTAACCCTCTACTCGTGGACTTACCTTATTTCTTTAAATCCAGCTACCCCAATCAGAATATATATTAGGAACAACATGAGTTTCTTGTATACGTTTTTATATGAGAGATGTATATGTTTTATATGAGAGAGAGAGAGAGAGAGAGAGAGAGAGAGAGAGAGACTATGTCATTTCGGGACTAACACATGGTTCAATTTTATTTCAATAATTCGCTTGCTCGTAGGGGTCATTAGCAGTGGGAGGAAACCGGAGGACCTGGAGAAAACCCACGAGATTGGACAGGCGACCCTACTCCTTGTCACGTACAACCGGGGAATCGAAACCACACTAGTTGACTTAATGACAGGACTCATGATACAGCGCGCACATGCTAACCATTCGGCCATCCAACCCCCCCGTTTTATATGGAGCAGGACACATACCGTAGTTATAAGTAATAGTCTACATACAACATGTCTTCCATGGCGTGGCTAGACTTCTGGAAAACACTACAACATGCTCTTCTTGGAATCTAAATGGCAGCTGATTTTCTAAGCCTAACTTTCTTTTTTTTTAAATTCTGCCATTTCTGCGATGATCGAATTATTAATTATTGGTTTGGTTAATTACGCTTAATGATGTCAAGAATCAACCAAATATGGACTTTGTCATAGTTTATGATTCTAATGCAGCCTTGATTCTAATTGAGTCACAGAGATCATGTCCGGTTATTCTCAAAATATCGTTTCAAATAAACACATATGCTGAAAGAGAACTTTTAGGTCAGACTGTTCTCATATTCACATAACTTATAATTTATCTATACATAAATCCCCAATTATAGTACACAAAGTGTAACTGAATAACCAAAGGGAACAATGTGAAAAAAACCCATGAAATTGACTGCTGTGCTCTATTTTTGTACTTTTTGTTATTTATCAGATTTGAACAATGCTCTATTGAAATTAATGGGCGGTTTGTTAGGTCAGCCAATCATTGGTGGCTCTGGTACTACGCTGGGAATATTGGCACTTTATAAGGTCATATCAGAAAATAACGCAAGCGAAGCGATTTCCTTGATACGACGTCAACCTCAATTGGTGAGTGATATAAACAAATTAAAGATACATTATATAAGAGCTAAATTCGTTCAATACAGGTCTTTATTTTGGCTTCAAATGTTATATAAACTATTATTGATTAGACATTTATTCACATGCCAAGCCTATAGTCAACTTTCTAGAGTATCGGACGTCGGAGATTAAACAGACTGAAACACTATCACTATTTAATGATTTAATTTAAAAATGATAGCTACGATAATAAACATCTATGCCACATCTTGTCAAAACTCCAATCAGTGATAACTTCGCTCAGAATAAAGTAATTTGAATGATATTTTCAATATGTTCATTTTGCCTTATCTACTTTTGAACTATTATATCCAGAACGGCCAGCTCTTTATCTAAATCTTACATAATGCATTTTCAAAGGTAATAAAAATATAAGACAAAGAACTCACGAACAGTTCTATTTTAAACATACATTATGCGAGAGTTAATTCGGCCTATTTTGGGTCTTTATTAGGCCTGAAATTTTATATAAACTATTAATTAGACATTTATTAAAATGAAAAGACCTTAACCAACTCTCGATGCCATCTTATGTGTCGGATTGTCACTGGATTTGAATCCGATCTGTTGCTCAACGCTCATGGATAATCGAGACTGTTTTTTTTATCGTACCGGCATAAGTAATGATGCCCGAGGCTAGGCCGAAAAATTAATCGCTAATATCTCGGTTCAGAGTGGAGCAATTTGATTGAAATTTTCAATATATTCCCTTTACATTATCTAGTTTTTATCTAACCCGCGACGTTTGACAGGCGATGCTACTCCTTGTCACGTACAGGCGTGGGGTCTCTATGAAAGACCTCATGGTCTAAAGGGCTATTGTTAGATGACTCGAACACTAACCGCCTTAATCAAAGAAGAAATATAGTATTTTAAGTGAAACTTTGGATTCAGGTAAACGCAGACTTCAAAGGAATAACACCGCTGGTGCTTGCAAGTCATCAAGGTGGCACAGCGATTGTTGAAGAACTTTTAAAACAGGGGGCTGATATCAATAAAACAGATGAAAATGGTAACACAGCATTGGTAGCTGCCATCGCAGGGTATGTATTTGTCTCTCCAGAAAAGTGAATCAATGACCAGGATAGATTATATGCAAATTTAAGATCAATCGGTCAACCCAAAGTTCAAAATGTAATAAACCTTATTTTAATTTCACTGTTTGATTGGATGCGTCCCCACCGTCCATGCACGTCTTTGGTTATCCAATAGTATAGGCCTTCATTTTACTTTCAGAAAAGAGAGAAGTATAGCAAGATTATTAATCTCCCGAGGAATCAATGTTAAAGTCATTCCTAAAGACAAAAAACCGGCTCTGTTTTGTGCGGCAGTGGAAGATTATGGTGATATTGTGACGCTTATATTACAGAAAGGTGCGAATGCGAACATTCAGGTACACGACTGTGGATTCACCCTCTTTTATTTATGCAACGTGGGGGTGGGGCTGGTGACCGAATGGTGTAACGCGTGTTTTAGATCACAATGTCTGTCATTTAGTGACGTGGTTTCGATTCCTCGCTTGTACGTGACAATTAGTAGGATTGTATGTCCAACCTCGTGGGTTTTCTCCTGCCCCCCCCCCCTTTTCCTCCCACTGCTAAAAACCCTTACGCACTAGCGAACTGTTAAAATGAAATTGAATAATATGTTGGTCCCAAAATGATCTAGTTTGTGTCGAGTGGACATAAATATCTCTCTCTCCCTCTCTCGCTCTCCCTCTCCCCCTTTCTCGATCTCTCCCCTGTCGTTGATAGAACGACATACTGAACTGAGCGGAATTCCTTTAAAGTAGCTAAGTCTCTTAACTCAATATCATCAAAAATCTTCGACATTGAAAACACGAATTATTTGTCAATTCAAATCAACATTGGTCTTGTGATCTTACAGGGAAAAGATGGGCTTATTATATCCAATAGTCAAGACAAAATAAACATTTTACCATTGGTACACGATTCGTTTCAGCGCCATTTGGAACAAGGGACTCAGAGAACAGGGCTAGACATATTCCACAAGTCATGTCAAATGGCGACGCTATATTCTTATCTGGAGAGCATGCGCAATAAATACTAAAGATTGCCATTCACATGAGACTTCTGGCGTATTAGAAATTACAGTAAAAACAGAAACGATTGAATGTAAATCAGTTTATAAACATTCATATTACATTATTATAGGCGTTGCGACCCATTTTTGTCAATTTCTAGGTCCCAAATATTAGCGATTTAGCTCCTTTAACTTTCACACTTTTGTAGTTTACGGGGGATTCAACTTCCCATAAATAACTTTCAGACTTTAACTGACTGTACTTGTTATTTGTTTTTTGCAGGACAGTGATGGGGACACGGCCCTACATGGTGCTGTACACACAGGAAGTGACGACTCTATTAGAGCTTTGTGCGAGTCTCAGAATGTTGACCCAAGTTTGGTCAACAAGAAAGGTTTTAACGCTCTCCATCTTGCTGCCTTCAAAGACAGACCGCTGTACGTAACCTATAACTACTGTTTTTTACTTTTTGGATTTTTGCTTCAGGAACTCGTTCTTGTTCTTTTTGGGGCGACGCGCTTACAAACGTGTCTAAGGCATGAAACGTGACATGGTTGTTCTATCGACCATTGCGTTTAGATTCAAGATGGCTACGATGACGTCAATGCCGGTTCTAGGTTTGCATAGTACGCTCCACACTGATCCGCAGTGAATATTCACTAGGCCGCTACAATCACTGATAAAGATGACATCGATGCGACTTAATGAGCCCCAAATATTAACTTTTTCATTCGACAAATTAAATTCTAAAAACATTTTTTTTTATGCATTAGAAAAATAAATAAAGACGTTTGACGTATTTGTAGGTAAAGATTATTTCCTGTTTAGTGTAAATGGGTATTAAAATGAGTAAAAAACACCATTCTGCCCGAACTAGTAACGTCTTATGTAAACAATGCACGCGACATTGAGCCAATGATTGACGCCGCGTGATGAGACGTCACGTGTCGAAGGCAGGCAAAACAATTTTACAACAAATTTAAATGGCCTGTCTAATACCTTAGATATGGAAATGAAATGGAGTTTAACGTCCTATTTTTCTACACCGACTGGTCTAATTAAGACGGTCTTATGCTAGGTTCCTACAATCACGTCTTGCGTTACGACTGAAATCGTGGTTTTAATCGTAGAGTAATCGTGGGGATATTATTAGGTATTATCATATATTGAGGTCAGTCGCAGTAATCGAAACGTATCCGAACTGATCTGCACGTACCAGATCGAAAACTCATTAGGGACAATCCTATCATAAAGCATCGCACGCCATTAGATATTGCTTTTTATACGCCCACATTTCAAATATATTGTTAGAGATATAGAGTTATGCCTTGCTTTAACGTGGGCTACGAATCGCACCAAATAGTGACGAATCAAAATTAATCAAAATTCGTGGCGATTCGGCAAAAAAATCAAAACGATCGTAGGGAATCGGGAGTAGTTACGTAGCAGTTACGAATAGTTTACGAAAGAGTTATGATAATTCGTGGGTAATCGGGTGAAAGATATGTCGGATTTCAAGGTAGCGTTCTACGAAATGAAAAAAACATCTATACGAATTGAAACGATTTAGTTACGAATAAGTTACGGATATGCCGAATTGCTAACGAATATGCCGAATTCAGTTACGAATAGACTGCGCTCTCCACGAATGATGCCGATAAAGGTACGAAAAATTAACGATATTTGGCACTATTCGTCCAAGAATCACCCACGAACTTCAAGAACCGTCAACGATTCGTGGCATTCGTTGCCCATATAAAGGCTGGCCAGGAAATGTTTTGTTTGTCTGTGATATCACCTCGGTGGAAGCGGACGTAAAATACAACTAACTAAGTAAGTAAGTGTTTTGTTTCAACAATAACTTATGCTCGGTGGAAGCGGACGTAAAATACAACTAACTAAGTAAGTAAGTGTTTTGTTTCAACAATAACTTATGCTCGGTTCCCACTGTTGTGCGATGCGTTACGATAGGATTGTCCTTATTGAGTCCACGATCTGATACGTGTAGATACGTTCGGGTACGTTTCGATATGGTCAGCGCGATTGCTTCGACTGACCATAATATATGATCAGACCTGATAGGATCAGAACGATTACTCCACGATTACAACCACGATTCAAGAAGCGCCTATGATATATCTAGGAATCGGAAAATTATTGGATTCGGAACGATTCTTGGCATTCGTAGCCCACGTGAAAGCCAGGCAGTAGCGACTTGAATCGCTGGAAACATCTGTCTCGATATTCGGCGATCCGTTCCAAAGTTGAAAGAAATTGTTAACGCGATAGAGTCTATACAGTTTTTAACAGATTTTTTTCTAATTCAATACGAATCAATGGGGCAATGGGGGATGAGCCCTATGGATTTCCCCCTTTTCCGTCCATCTATTGCAAAATGTGGATGTATCATTGCATGATAAAAATTATTGCTCGTATTTCATGGATTTGTGTTAATAGATAAATATTAAATGTCATTAAAACAATTTATTTTAGAGCTGTTGAGAAAATTCTTGATAAAAATAAAGAGTTGGTAGAGGTTAAAAAAAGGGATGGCTTCAATGCTTTACACATCGCTACCGTAAATAACCATGTCAACTGTGCTAGAATACTTATACAAAAGGTAATATGTACAATATCCCCAAAGAAACATTTCATAAACACCAACATATGGCTCAAAATTCTAAACGCTTAAAGAGGCAACATGACAGACAGCTCATTTTAGTATCAAACTTAAAACAGGGACTGAAAGGTCGAATGATATCGTGGCCTCGTTGTTACTCGGACAATATTATTATTTCAAATACTCTTAAAGAAATAGAATGCCGTGAAATCATTTGGAATATTATTATTTTGTGTCAAGAGCATTGTCTGAAATTATGTTTGTAGCCATGTTGTCCCTTTATTATAAGCGTGACATGTTATTGTTGACTTTTATATTGTGACTTTGGTTTCGATTTTCTTAGTTCTAAAATTTGAAACCGCCATTCTAGTATGCCAGTATTGGTGACTAATTCTGTATTAAAACTCGTAAAGTATGACGTCCTATAAGGGCCGATGTAAGGGTCAATTCTGTTTGCCCTATAGACTTGACAACTAGATAACATCATAAGTTCATTGATGAGTTTTATAGCCCATGAATACTTACCACCTTCCGTCTAACCATTCTCCCTTTCAAAACCAACGTGAAATTTCAGCTAACTATTAAAACCATTTTGCTGGTATCTGTAAGCTACGAAATTTTCGGATTGTTATTAGTGCTCTACACCGGAAATGCCACCATCTTGACAAACTAAGTCTTAGACCAAATTTTATCCAACAGACGCGGGAAATGAGCCATTTCTTTACCATGATATACAACAGTTAACATACAAAATGGTTGACTAAAGTCCAAATTAATCGCCATTTTGAATTGAAAATTAAAGACATTACCAAAGCCTAATGTGATCGCCATTTTAAATTGAAAATTGAATACATTATCAAAATCCATATGATAATTGTTGACCTTTTCCGGGATAGAACTAACTATATGATAATTGATGTTGTTTCCGACTTTTCCCAGGGTAGAGCTGATGTAAACTGTAAACGTGATGATGAATCACTACTCACACCACTCCATCTAGCTTGCTTAGAGGGTTATTTCGAAACCGTTGAATTATTGGTAGAGAGAGGTTTGTAAATGGATTTAACGTCCTAAAATCTGGATGATGAAGACGAAATATGTGTTATGAAGGCAATTTTATATGGGCAACGGCGCCTCCGCCACTCCTTAACGATTACCTACTGTTATGGATTCTTTTACGGGTACACTGGGTTAATGAAGAGGGGCATACGCCATACAGTGTGCTATGATGGGACTTTTGCCCCGACAGCCGCGCAACGGCCAGCTCTTATATCAAATTCAAACTGTCATGGCATCTTTTACGTGCAAACCAATGTGTACACAGAACCTCGGGTCTATATGATGCGCATGATGCCAGTCTCCGCTGAGAAGGGGGAACTGATTAACTTTCTCGGCCAACACCGGGATCTAAGATGAGAATTCCAAATTAGGTTCCAAGGCCTTACTCACTAAGCCACTGTGTTGGAACAGGAAACCAAGATGGAAAATCGGGAACGCACCTGGTTAGTGAGCCACAGTTGCTATACACTTTAGTTGTTAATATTAGCAAGGCATACAAAGGAAGAAAATATTAATCAAAATAGAACTCAAATACAGCAATACTTTAATTATATATTGAATTCCGATGGTGTATTGTTAATCTGTCCGTTTCTCAGTCCGTCGGGGCATACCTACTTGTACAGCGTTTAGCACAGCAATAGTTAGATTTGGTGGCAAAGATGGCATTTTCTCAAAACAAGAGTTATTGTCGTAACAAAATTCATATTGACGGGCCCGGGATTTTGAGCATAACGATTGAAAAAAAGGTTCCGAAGTTTGCCTTCAGGAAAATGTTTAAACTAGGGAACACATATTTGCAAATAATTGTGGGGCTAAAGCCCTGCCCTCACCCCCGGTTCCGGTGGATCTTTTGTATTACCATACTCTAATTACGTTCTTGCCCAGGTCTAGTTCAGTGATCAACAGCAGGATTCTGTGATCGGTATTTACAAAGTTATACTCTGCTGACGAACAGTGTTGCTGGTGGGCTTACAGTGCCGGATTTATCTGTATGCTTAGGAGACTGAATACTAGAGCCTCAAGATCTAGGAAATGAAATGAAATGAAATGGGGTTTAACGTCCTACTGTTCTGCTCCTATACTGGGCTAATGAAGACGGGCATACGCCATACAGTGTGCTATGAGGGAAATTTTGCCCGGGCAGCGGCACTATCGCCTACTCTTATATCGAATTCCAACTGCCAAGGGATCTTTTACGTGCATTCTAATGTATACACGGGACCTCGGTTTTTCGTATCATCCGAAGGACTAGACAGCTGTCCTTGTCAGGCCCTCCGTCAAGATCTAGGAGGCCGTTTGTCAAGATGTATGAGTGGAAAAACCTATGGCCCGTCTTCATATAAATCCAGCACTGTAGATCTTATACATGATTATCAATATGGTTTTTGTTTATTGTAGGAGCAGATGTGAACATACCTGACCGTGCTAGAAATACTCCTCTTCATTTAGCTCTTCAAGGTCGACCGGGTGTTGATAGGGGACACGGACTGGTAAAAATACAAACACACCTTGTTTTACGTTTTCCATTTTTATTCCATCTGGGCTAATGAAGACGGGCATACGCAGTATGCTATGAGGGAAATTTTGCCCGGACAGCGGCACAACGATCTACTCTTATTTCAAGTGCCACCTGTCAAGGGTTCTTTTACGTGCATGCCAATATGTACATGGGACCTTGGTTTTTCATCTGTCCTTGTCAAGCCCTTGTCAATGTGTACACGGGGCCTCGGTTTTTCATCAATTCGAATGATTTTACGATGCTTCTTACCAGCTCCCTCACCCAACTTGTCCCTGTACCATATAAATACATTGTCATTTTTGTAAACGAACCGTCTGTAATAAATTGATTGTTTAAAGATGCAGTATTTAAGATTTAGATAAAGACCTGACAGTTATTGCTATAATACTTCAAAACTAGATAATGAAAAGCGAATATCTTGAAAATTTCAGTCAAATTACATCATTTTGAGTGACGTTAGGGCTGTTTGGAGAATAGCGGAATCTCGATTGTCATTGCTACCGTGGTTACGATAGTAAACAAAGTCTCGATTATCCATATTTTTACTTTTATCATTATCCGCCGATCGTGTTTAAATCCGTTCAAAATCTATGGTTTTGTCAAGTTAAAGCATATCTAATTAATAATTTATTTAACAATGACCAGCAAAAGTCAGATTTAGCTCTTGCATAATGCATCTTTAATTTAATGAGGCCGGGTTCGGGCGCTCCAAGTGGTAGTTCTCACTATAATAGTTAAAAACTAGATAATGTAAAGGTAATTTGCTGAAAATCTCATTCAAATTGATGCACTATGAACCGAGAACTAAGCGGTTTAAATTTCCGGCTAGCCTTGATCATCATTACTAAAGTCAGTACGATAAACAGCATAGTCTCGATTATCTATTTAATCGTTAAAACGTGAAGGAAAGTTATGCAGTAAATAGACTCATAATCCACTAAAGACCGCAGGCTAACGATGCCTGGATGGGTTAATTAATATCTAATTAATAGTTTAGATAATATTTCAGGCATAAAAAGACCTGCAATAGGCAGATTTAGCTCTTGCATAATGCATGTTTAATTTTTATATTGCAGCTTGGAGCGTTGTTGGGCCTGGGTTCATCATCTAAAACAGAAAATCGTATAAAGATTGCCGGCCTGCTTATGCAAAATGGTGCTTCTCTGGAACGAGGAAATGTAATCGGACTAACACCAATTGATGTCTGCGGGGATCCTGCCGTTAAGGCAGCTGTTAGCAAGTATGCCCAAAAACGGTAAGTTTGAGACCCAAGTTTCAGTAGTGTAGAAGATTGTTGGCGAAAGGGGATTTGGGTGTTGAGTTTTGATGGGGCGCAGCACTAGCGGATTAAAAATTATGCCCTGCTCTTTCTTTCTTTCTGATTTATTCTCTGCTCAAAGTTACAACATTAAAATTGTGCTGGTTATAACATTTATTTGGTACAATTATTAACTTGATTTTCTTTTATTACCTTTTTGTCCATTACGTATTGTTTCTGTAAGTGTTTTTATTATTATTTGTGTGTGTGTGGGGGGGGGGGGGGATTTAGTGAGAGCTTGCAGGAAAAACTGTACATGGGTACAAACTTTCTTCCAACATAGATGTGGTCGGCCTCCGTGGATCTATTTATTGCATTATGCAATATTAAATAAAGAGCTGGCCGTTCCCGCTTTAATAGTTAAGAATTAGATAATAAAAAGGGGTTATTTTTAAAAACAATTCAGTCAAATTACTTCATTCTGGCTAAGTTAGGGATGTTTGGAGAATATCGGAGTCTCGATTATCATTACTACAATTTTTACGATAGTAAACAAAGACACGGTTATCCATTTTTTAATTAAATCATTAACTGCCTATCGTTTTTAAATCCGATGAAAATCAAGAGCATCCGATGGCATAAAGAGTTGATTATGCATTATGCAAGAGCTAAATCTGATTATTGCAAGTCTTAATTTAGGCTTCAGATGTTATAGAAATTATAAATTAGATCTTTATTTAAACAAGTAGACCAAAATCAACTCTGTAGACCCACGGATGGCTCGGCTACAGCTCGGATTTAAATAGGATTTCACTAATTGATTAAATCAAATAACCTGATGAAAATACATCAGTTAGATCGAGGCTAAATGATAGAGTGTACTTAGCGAGGCCGCTGTAAAGCGTTTCCGTATGCCATTGAAAACTTTACTTGATAATCGAGATATGTAGGTGGAGTTAACGTCTGTCAATCAAACGATCAGCGAAGGTGAAGACGCATTTCGCTACCATTTCTAGTGAAATATTACAACGATGATAACTATGTTCAGAATAAAGTAATTTGACTGAATTTTTCAATATATTCTTCTTTCATCATCTACTTTTTTATTTGCATTCGTTTAGTATCAATATATTACATAATTCTTCCCTCCCTCCCTTTAAACCATATATAAATGTTATCTATTTTTAGGCAGTCTACTCAAGAAACTCAAGGTTTGGGAACCCAAATAAGACTACCATGTACCCGGTGTTTTTCCAAGGCAGCCGATATTACCTTAAAGCCATGTGACCATACTTGTGTCTGCGATAAGTGCGCATTGCAGATTGAGGATTGTCCTCTGTGTAACCAGACTATACACAGAAGGTTACGATCCAAGAGTGGTCAGGGTTAGTATTGCATTCACTCGATCAGGAGTCTTTAGTAGTGGGGGGGGGGGCATTCGGCCACCCAACCCCGCTATAACTAATCAGCAGGCATTGTACGTAAACTTACACCTAACTTTCCTTTCCTTGAGTCACTGACAGACCTTATGATACAAAGTGCGTTTGTTAGACCATTCAACCGCCCGACACGCGCGATAAATGAAAGAATTCGATCACATTTTCAGGCGCGAAATTAGCAGGCAGATCTCAAGATTCTGTCCCATTGACTGCCATTTCTGATCCCCTCGTTCACAAGCATTTGCTCCTAGGAATGACCTCAGAAGCTGAAACATACCCCTGACCCCACCCCTTCAGGTTGCTTAGTGCTATAGTCACTTCTCTAAGGTTGTCGAAAATCAATAACAAAATCACAATCTGATTAAATCACAGATCCATTTCGTTTCGTTTTTATAGTTCAAAATTTTATTTTACTTGTCTTTACTACACTAGGATCTGGAGGAGTTGTTATCATTGACGTGTTCTGAATGGTGTGAGAGATTAGCCAATGAAATGGTCTTGTTACGGCGAGCTTTAGGCGTGTTTTGCACGGAACTGTGGGTAATCCACTAGTAACATCAATGCTGGTTGTTTAATCAAATGTCTGACGCCATAGGGTCAAAAGTCGCCCGTATGACCTCTGACGCGACCTATCGCTACAAGCAGTCAGAACTCATGTAGTGTAGGCCATCGGAAGTATAAAAAAACGAAACGAACTATAGATCTGTATTTTAATCAGCTTGAACAAAATCAATAACTTTATGTCAACTTTAATAAAACTGCTTTTCAGCGAGATAACGATTAGCGAACAATTATATAGGCAATACGATCTATATTCTACCGGATGGTCATAGCCATATTTTGTTGACATTCATTGTAGGCGGGATTGTGGATGGCGCCCTAGATTTGGAACCGTCCTTGCCCCCCATATTCACAGCTTCTAGATCCGTTACTGCACATTTTGAAAGATTGCTGATTTGGTGATGCCTCTTTTCTTACTTGTCAGTGGTACAGGACCGAGGTCCTGCTAAGTCGTTCGGATGGGACGAAAAACCGAGGACCTGTGTACACATTGGTGTGCACGTAAAAGATCCCTTGGCAGTTGGAATTCGATAGAAGAATAGGCCGTAGCGCCCTGTCTGGGCAAAATTTCCCCCATAGCACACTGTATGGCGTATGCCCGTCTTCATAAGCCCAGTTGGAGCAGAACAGTAGGACATTAAACTCCATTTCATTTCATTTCGTTTCAGATCGGACACAGGAAGATTGTAAAGTACAGTAAACACATTACTAGCTCTGGGCCGACATACGGTATTGTCGAATATTGCGGGACCAAATATTGGCCGACAAAGGAATTGGGAGGTCATTGCTTATTATTTTATTTACTCAAGCGTGTGCACATGCGCAATCTATTTAATGTATGGTTTTCCTAGTAATAGAACAGGTGTGCGTATTTAATTGTAAATGGACAACAATTTTTTTTTTTTGGGGGGGGGGGTGATTTTAGGGTTATGCAATTAGAGATTATTAATATAGTTTATAGTTCACACCTAAAAAAACCTACCTATGGTTATGGGACATTACAGCTAACAACGTCAGCCTCTGTCTACATGGTAAATCGCACCGTTAAACAGCTATAATATATGTGACAATGTCCCTCTCTTCTGGCTCTCTCTTGGCTCTCTCTTGACCCCCTTGACACCCTCCACACACGCACCCATGGACACGCGCCTAAGGACAACGCTACACGCAAACCTATTAGATAAAACTGCGGGCAAGAAATGAACAACAGAAATAACAATCAAGCGAATGGATCCGGGTGTGTGGGGAGGGGGTGTGGGTGATGTAACGGAAGCGTCCACTGTGTTGTACAGTTCCGGACCAATACAGGCTTCATACGCAATGGAAAACAATTTCACAATATTTTTATTATAAAATATGTATTGTATATCCCATGTTGTGGTTTGTATATTTATATATCTATATCCTGTAATTTCTAGGTTGTGGTCTACAGCTTTATAAATATTATAAATACATATATTGTTGTCTATAAACTCACGGAAACACAGATAATTAATAAACAATGAAGGTGATGGTAAAATATATATTATAGCCCACCACTTAGAACGCTCCAGTGCGCCACTTAGAACGATCCAGTGCGCCACTTAGAACGATCCAATGTGTCATTTAGAATGGCCCAGTGCAATAGATTGTAAGCTAGCCTACTGTCTATCTTCATGATGTTCTATCAGTATAAGCTTTATGCATATCGGGAACCACTGTGGCTCAGTGAGTAAGACATTGACTCGCTAACCTGGAGGTACACTGCTCGATCCCGGTGTTGGCAGAGAAAATTCATCTGGAATTTTTGGCGTGGTTCCCCCTTGTCAGGTGTAGAATAGAGAGCATTGAAGTATTAGTCATGAGAGGATTACTAATCTGTGGTTCGTCTCCACCAATTAAAATATGGTTGTCTCCCTTTCACCCCTTTTGTTCGTCGTCTGATTTTGGTTGGGCTTTTCACCAAACGTCGAATTGGGCAAAACCGAGGATGGTGACGAATGTTTAAGACATGCATATAAGAAAGGCTTATTCGGCAGTGTCAAAATATTATACACCTAGGCCTGTGGCCCCCTAATGTTTGAGGCTATTCAGCAGCCTATAGGAAAATCCGGCACTGGATGTTTACCCTGTTTATTTAGAGTATCAAGGTAATTTTAATATATTTATCTGGAAAATTCAAACCAAATCCAGGGCTATTGAAGATGCAAATAAAATGCTATGCAATGGGGTTTAACTTCCTAATGTTCTGTTTCTGCTGGGCTAATGAAGATGGGCATACGCCATACAGTGTGCTATGAGAGAAATTTTGCCCAGACAGCAATTAAATTCCAACTTTCAAGGGTTCTTGTACGTGCACAAGGTGTACATGGGCCCATCCACACGACTAGACGTTGTTCCTTATGAGGACCTCCGAGAAACTTCCTCGGCCAAAACCGGATCGAACTCAATGCACCACCGCGGCTCCCACCAAGACGAGATAAGATTTGTACAAACCAACCAGGACCAGCCTTTATGCGTGGAGTTGAAACTCTGGCCATCTGCAAACTGGCTGAATCCATCAAACTCATCCACAACGTTTGGAAACTCTAAATCTTAAAGGAGCTAAATTCCTATTCTTTGGCGCCTGGAAATGGACACAAATGGGTGGCAACGCATATAATAATGTAATATGAATGCATATAAACTGATTTACATTCAGTTGTTTCTGTTTTACTGTAATTTATAAGCAGTTATGTTCGGCGAAATACGCGAAGAGTCCAAATTGAATGGCAGTCTTTGGCGTCTGTTTATTCCAGCCTACACCGATAGTATTCTCCTGTGGGGTATGTTCATCGAGTCGCTTCATTACAAATGGCACTCAAAAACATTCTGGCACGCGATTCGGTGTCAATTTAAATATTTTCATTTTGTCTTAAATATTGAATATCAGAAGCCCAAATTTTCACGGTAAGATAACAACATCAACGTTGATTTAAAATGACCAATGAGTCTTGTTTCCAATTTTGAAGACTGTGGATGATATTGAGTTAGAGACTTGCCTCCTTTAAATTGATTGAAAACGTAAACGCCGCTGTCCAAGGAAAATGTCCCCCATAGCAGCACACTGCATGACGTATGTCATCTTTATTAGCCCGGTTGGTGAGACAAGTAGGACGTTAAACCCCATTTCACTACAGCTTCCTCTTATTTTTTCACAAAAATGTCTTTTGGTTCAGGGGGATCACGGTGGCTAACTGGGTAAGACGCTGGCTCGCTAGCCTGGAGGTCGGGTGTCCGATCCCTGCATTGGCCGAGAAAGTTCATCCAGATTTTCCGGCGTGGTTTCCCCTTGTCAGTGATGCAAGACGGAGGGCCTGACAAGGACACCTGTCCAGTCGTGCGGATGGGACGAAAAAACGATGACCCGTGTACACATTGGCGTGCACGTAAAAGATCCCTTGGCAGTTGGAATTCGATATAAGAGTAGGCCGTAGTGCCGCTGCCCGGGAAAAATGTGGCATATGCCCGTCTTCATTAGCCCAGTTTAGGAGCAGAACAGTAGGACGTTAAACCCCATTTCATTTCATTTCTCTTGGTTCAGAAATGATATGGAAACGCGCCATATACACGGGACAAATCAGATACTGGAAACCGTAGCGTCGTTTAAATATTATATCTTTTTTTGTCGTTTCTTGAATTGATAACGCTTATCAGACTAAACTCGCGTTTGAACGTAACCCACAATTAACAAAGTACGAAACCAAATTTAACACACTTCATATCAAAGAAATCCTAGTATAAAAAGAAAATGTCGTATGCTTCAGTTGTCAAAGGCAACCTAGTCAAAAATCACGCTACCATATTTGCCATATGTTAGATTCAGCGTCTGCGCGAACTATTCAATAACTACCGTACTATATATAATATCCCAGGTGTGAAGAGTTTTATACCACCTGCATCCATGCAACATGTTGCCTAGCTTACTTTGTATTATTAAACCATATGGTTATTAAACAAACATTATTTTACACCTGACAATAGAACTATATTTTTTTTATTCAAGTAACTATGGGTCCTTTATTATCACAATCGCCGAGAACATGAACTTATTTAATTTTGAACAATATCATAAAAAACCTATTCTCTCCTAATTACCGAAGATGAGTGTAAGACAGGGAGAGGGGAGAGAGAGGGACAGGGAGAGAGGAGAGAGAGAGAGAGACAGGGAGAGAGAGAGACAGGGAGAGGGGAGAGAGAGAGAGAGCGAGAGTGAGTGAGAGGGGGGAGGGAGAGAGAAACTAGGTTCAATTTTAATTCAATAATTCGCATACGCGTAGTGGACTTTAGCAGTGGGAGGAAACCGGAGGACCCAGAGAAAACCAACGAGGTTGGACAGGCGCTGAGTGTAAGAATGTTACGTCACTATCGTAGCCAATGGTAACACGCAGGTATGTTAAAGAGGCACTATCACTCTCATCGCCGAAAAGATGTTCTTATTTAATTTGTAGCAATATCATGATTAAAAAAAACCCATTAGACTCTCCTAATTACCGAAGATCAGCGGTAACTTCATTTAGGAGTGTTACGTCACTATCGTAACTAATGGTAACACACGTGTATTTTACAGAGGCGCTAACATTCTCATCAGGAAGTTAAATGTAATTTATTTTGAATAATATTATTACATTTAAACAAGGTTCAGGAACATCCAATTTTGTGAATTTGAAATTATGGCTGAAGCATTCTTGTACAGAATGTCCTATTTAATTTGAATACAAAGTTTACAATCTCACATTTCTGCCTACAGTATTAAACCCTAATGCCAAATATTTCAGAACAGCAATATAAACTCCTTTTAAAATTGTTGTTCTTTGTTTTGATTTCTTTACAAAAAATGGATATACAATTAAGTTTCTGTCACGCTGCATTAAATAAAAAATTAAGACTACTTTTTAACTTATTACACGTCTTCAAGACAAACAAGAGAGAGAGAGAGAGAGAGAGAGAGAGAGAGAGAGATGGGTTTATCGTCCATTCGACACAAACTAGGTCATTTCGAAACTAACATATCGTTTAATTTTATTTCAATAATTCGCTAGCGCGTAGGGGTCTTTGGCAGTGAGAGGAAACCGGGGGAGCCGGAGAAAACCCACGAGGTTGGACAGGCGACCCTACTAATGGTCCCGTGCAACCGGGGATTCGAAACCACCCCATACCCCGCGACCATTGATTGTTTTTTGGGGGATTCAGGTCAGTCACCAAGGGTACGCTATATTGAACCACATTGAAGTTGCTGTATTCACAAGTTGAAATAGCAGGAAAACGCGTTTGTGGCAGTTAAGCGGTAAGCTCCGCTCCTCCACTCTCGCAGAAGACCGGCGCCGCCGTCTGTACCCTGAAATATTTTCGGGCATTGTGGGTTCTGCCCCCCTAACTGTCATCGAGCCCGTACGCCTATGGGTAAGACGAGAAACCGAGTTCCTGTGTACACGTGAGGTGCACGTGAAATAACTGTTATTAGAACTCGAAATAAGAATAGACTGGGATTTTACAGTCGAGTTGCCATCTGGTGGTAGTGATGGGCAGAAGGTGAAACAGGATGAAACGAAACACAGAGGACCCGTATACACATTGGCTTCCACGTAAAAGATCCCTTTACATTTTCTAAACCTCACAAAGCCCTAATGACTGTTTAACCCACCATGACCCCGCCCTAGTATCTAAACTATTAAAAATATAATTGAAGAATTTATGGGGCGTGCATGAAATAGCATTACAAGTATTCAACCCATCGCCTATTTAAAATGTCAACAAAGACACCTCTAAACATCTTTCTTAAAAACATATAGCTGTTTTGTCAAGTGCGATTTGTAATGTAAAGAATGCTATTGAAATAAAGTTAGAGCGACTTATATCTAACATCGGGAGAATAAACCGAGAGATTAGTAGCCAAGTCATATTCATTTTAGTATAAAGGGCAGAAATCGTCCCGGGGCCTGTTTCACGAAATTTAACCACGATAAAATCCAGATTTTAGTAATTTGATTGGATATTATTGAATTGATTTTAGTGCTTAGCCAATCAAAATTGAAGAACCTACTAAAATTTAGATTTTATCTTTAGTTAAGATTTCGAGAAACAGGGCCCAGAAATCGTCCCGGAGCCTGTTTCACGAAATTTTAACTACGATAAAACCCAAATTTTAGTAATTTAATTGGATAATATTAGATTGATTTTAGTGCTTAGCCAATCAAAATTGAAGTATCTACTAAAATTGGCCCCGGTCAATAAACCTTCCGTTCAGTCTTCTTTGAATTTTGACTGATAATGCATCCTTAGAACCTTCCCAATTTATTTTTGGGTTGTTTACTTTGTTAACGGAAAGAAAGGACGATGTACTCTTAGTATTTTTTTATTTATTTTTTTTAAAGTATAAACAACCCAAAAATAACTGGAACGAAACTTTAGAGCAATTTTAATTAAACTACAAACTTCCCAAAAGGACGTTAAACCCAATTTCATTTCATTTCACAAAAGTTCTCATAAAAAGATAGCCACACAAAGTGTTGAAATATGCCCACGCAGTAAATATCCGGTAAACAATAGCCATAAACAGAAGCTTGGATGTTGACCAAATTAGATAAGCCTATCGTCATCACCTGCCTTTCCGGACTCGTAATATACATCTATAAAAGAAAGTCCTAGAATGCTGAACATCAATAGGCTTCATCATCTTATGGTTGACACTAAATTTTAACAAATTCGTTAAAATTGTAGCCTCTACAACGGTTACAAAAATGAAATGAGATGAAATGGGGTTTAACGTCCTACTGTGCTGGTCCAACTGGGCTAATGAAGACGGGCATAAGCAATACAGTGTGCTATGAGGGAAATGTTGCCCGGACAGCGGCACTACGGCTTACTCTTATATCGAATTCCAACTGCCAATGTGTACACGGCACCTCGGTTCTTTGTCCCATCCGAACGACTAGGCAGTCGTCCTTGTCAGGCCCTCCGCCCTGAATCACTGACAAGTAGGAACCACGCCGGAAAAATCTGGGTGAACGTTTACATGAAGGTTGCATAAAGGTGAAAGTCGACAGAGTTTGGCCTCGCATGAGCACAATGCTTCACACCAATAGCCTCTATCGCGTTTACAGGGTTTTCAGAAACGGGGTAAACAACTCCGGAACGGAATGTCGCGGAACATTAAAAATACTATTCGTCCTCTCATCGACCAAAATGCTTCAAACACATTATGAAAAACAACTGTTAAATATGTATCCTCTATCTCATTCATAAACCAGTTGTTGACGAACGAAGGGTCAACTTACAGATTCTATTCCCTTCATTTTTATTCTTTGGCTTTTAGCTTTTTATAGACTTATGATTGCAATCAAAACCACATTCCCTCGTATAAGTTTTTAAAGCAAAGTTGTATTTCGTGCAGGTCTAGTGAATACAATGAAAACACTTAAGAGCATATGCTTATATATACTATGAGATACGACTCGTGCTCTCCTTTCAACCATCGAATCAGTCATGCAAGAAGTTTACGTACCGCGCGTGCCAGCTGACAGTTGGGTCACAGAAGCGGGAAGATTCTGTCGTCTGCCACATGCCGCCGTTTGGATTACTTTGTTGACAAAAAGCAGATGGTATTTAAACAAAATCACCGACTTCACTTTTTTTGTATAGCAATGTGATGATTTGTAACGGCAAATATAAAGACCCGTTGCTGCTCAAACGGTTTCTAGTTTATTTGTAGCGCTGTGACGGTGTTCAACTGTTTAAGCAGGCGTCTCCGAACTTGGATTATTTCATTAAGAAATGTGGAATTATTTAACGACGAGAAAACGAGTAGCCTGATAGTTGATTAGTTTTAAAATCTGTTCAATTTATCTAGGAATGTGTAAAAGCTAAATAGGACCATAATTCTGGGGGGGTTTTATGTGTGTGTAAAACATTCGCGTAACTAACCCTGTATTGTTTTGAATCTACGGACATAATTACGGGTCATTATTTACGTTAAATTTTATTTAATTAAATGACACCAATTCTATGGCACCATGGTAACAGCTGCTTGTACTCTAAACAAAAACGTATAAATTTGTAGATTTATTTATTTCAGTAAAATTTGTATTAACAATTTGTGGAAATTAATCAATACTAACTCGTCAGCTACACGTTCTACGAGAGATTGACTAACTGGTGAATTATAACACCGAAGGGTTGTCAGCAATACGAGTTAACTCGGTAATAATTTGTGAAACACGAACAGCCTTTCAACCGTATGATATCACATTGCATTGAGTTGTTTTCGGCGCTTGTGAGCGGAATACTAAACGATGCGATAATGCCTCAAGCATTGTCTTTAAGATTAATTAATGCGTCAAGCGAAGAGGGAAGACTGCGTATTTTATGTCATTGATTGAAGTTTCTTCGGCGTTAACGGACATTGGAAGAATTTCTATACATGTACTACCTTCGCCCCGCAACCACGTCTCATGCGTCTGACTTAAGAACTATAAGCGCATTTTAGAGAACCTGTTACTAAAGAAAGGAATCTGATCTGAAAATCGATGGGATTGCAGATGAATTATTCAGTACCTTGTCTGACATCTACCAAAAAACGAAAGTGGGAATAGGTGGCCGTGAAACTTTTGTGGTCGTAAAGAAACGAATAAGTTGATGGAATTTGGCTCCGATTCTGTTTTCCTTGTGCGTTTTATGTAGTATTTTTGTTTTTAAGTTGCTGTATGGTTTGTGCATTACGTGTTGTTATTTTATTTACGCCAATAACTACATTGAGGATTTTAGTTGGTGGCATAGCATTGTATTCAACTTGATACGTGTGCTATTTACCAGTACTCAGACAGACAGAAAGCTAACAGAATCGGCAAGCGCAACTGGTCTTTGGAATAAATAAAGAGAGAACAAAATAAAACGTGGATGTTCAGTATATGCCATGAAGAATTCGCCAATGATGATTTGTGCTAACGGAATTGAGTATGAACCTTTGAAGGTAAGGGTTATTAATAAAATTTGGACCAATATTTCGTAGAATAGCTGGATCTGAAACAAGTTTAAGAATGAAATTTTTATGGTTATGCTCGTCTGCTAATATATATATATATTCTGATATGCTTTCCATTTTAATGAATTGGGGTTTATCATCCTACGGTTCTGTGCCAACCGGGTGAAAACAGACGCCCATACGCCATGCATGGGGTGGGGTGGGGGCTACGGCGTTTCTTGCTACTCGTTTCCGAACTCCAGCCACCAAGGGTTCTTTTGCGTGCACGGCAATGTATACACGGTGGACCTCGGTTTTCTGTACCATCTTAATATATGAACGACTTGGCACTATCCTTGTAACCACCGGAGGCGCTACGCCAGATGACTCAGAACCGGGTTTGAAAAACTTTCTTATTGTAATCACACTGTGATGGGTATTGTTGACGAAGGAGTAGTGTCCTACTTTTCTGCTTCGACTGGGCTAATGTTTATTCTTTCCAGAACACACGATACCACTTCTAATTTGGTAATTCACATAACCAACAAATTATGTCGTTGTTTTGTATCTGAATTATTTCTACTTTTGTTGAAAAATATTTTTAAATCAATTTACAACCAAACAGGATTTCATATATAGGCCTACGTTGGTTAAAAATTGACAACCATACGTAAACATTTTTACACATCAAATAAATATGACAAGCTTTCATATTCTATATGCACTCAACAGTGAAATCAGTTCACCGAAAACCTTTACAAAAATAAACTCGCGAGTCGAGTAAAGGTCATAGATGATTACGTTCATATAAAAAGTATTCAAATAATTAGTGTGAATTTTATTTTTCATTGCGGTGCTGCATCACGCCATTAAAAATATTAAAGTGTGTTCCCAGGGGAAGTCGTTTTCATTGACATTACAAAATAAAAGTATTTTATAAATATTTGATTTGATAACAATTCAACATTATCAGTTGACTTATGGGGGAGTTATTTTATTCGTTTCTTTGTTCTTGTCATTCGTTTGTCAGGTTTGCCTTCTTCCGGACTACAATCAATCTGATTAAAAAATACAGATCTATATTTCGTTCCGTGTTCCCTATTTCGGACTGAAATTGAAAACAGTTCTAAATTCAGAATTTGGAATATCTAATTCTTAAATGAGTAGGCTATATACCGATTGTTTTCCATTAGTTATGTTATCGAGAGATCAATCAGGGTCAGATCCAGGAAATTTTGCAGGAGGGGGTTTGTCAGGTACCTGTTAAGGAACTTCGACAGTTGACAATGCATGATGCTATAGGCCGATAATCGTCTCCAAATTACGAGAGAGAGAGAGAGAGAGAGAGAGAGAGAGAAAGGGGGGGTATGTCCACTCGACACAAACTGTCATTTCGGGACCAACACATGTTTCAATTCCATTTCAATAATTCGCTTGCGCGTTGTGGTTTTTAGCAGTGGGCGGTCCCGGCGAAAACCCACGAGAATGGTCAGTCGACCCTACTCCTTGTCACGTACAACCGGGGAATCGAAACCACGCCAGTTGACTCAATGACAGATCATTCGACCCCGCCCCCTCCTCCAAATTACGTAGGCATACATACACACTGGGCTTATTAAAGAGAGAAATCCAACACCCCGTTTGAAGTCGATTTTTATTATGAATTAATAGGCTCACACTGTGATTCAATATCATTGATGCAAAGCATTAATTGTGGCCCACCCCATCCCACCATCTACATGGTGATAACGGATATAGCACACGACCGAGACACTTTTCCATAAAAATGTTGTTTTACATTTTGTTTATCTAACTGAGCCCTGGATCAGCTCCTGATTAATAGTACATGAACTTAAACCAGGGTCGTAAGTAGCTCAGAACAACGAGGGGGATGGGAAGTGTTCTCAGTGGTGCTTTAAAATTGACGGACAATGTATATCTTGTGGCGAGGTTTCGATTCACCGCTTGTACGTGACAGGGAGTAGGGTCGCCTCTCCATCCTTAGTGCCACACGGACTGAATCACACCATACTGGCCTAGTCAGTGTCACACTGACTGAACCAGCGCTACACTGACCGAACCAGACCACACTGGCCGAGTCAGTGTCACACTGAAACAGCGCTACACTGACCGAACCAGACCACGCTATCTGAACCAGCGCTACACTGACCGAACCAGACCACGCTATCTGAACCAGAGCTACACTGACGGAACCAGACTACACTGACTGAGTCAGCACTACACTGACCGAACCAGAGCTATATACTCAGCGCAACACTGACCGAACAACGTGACTCCCATCCAGCAACAACATCCGATAACTAACAATAACTTGTGTACATTCGTATTCTATAAGAAAAAATGTAGGCACATTCCACAAATTCCTGGTAGAAAAAAATAATATTTGGCAAAAGAACATAGTTATACTGTGTGTTTCTACTTGATTTAAAAAACAAACGTATGAGAATAAATGTATTCTATTATTTACATAGGGACACGATGGCTCAATGGGAATAGTCCTTCTCACTGGACCACTGACAAGGGGAAATCCACGCCGGAAAACCTCGATGAACGTTCTCGGCCAACACCGGGAGGGAACCCGCTACCTACAGGCTAGCATGTAGTAGAATCTATAATATTATTTTACGCACAACATTACAGATGGTTCACATAAAGTCAAAATGTCAAGCGACCCTACTCCTTGTCACGTACAAGCATGGGATCGAAAACAAACGCCACTTAACTCAAAGACAGCCCTTGAGATCTAAAGTGATTTAAAGCACTTTATACAGCGCCTTATATTAGATACAAAGGTGGATAACGTGCTATACGTATTCGTACTTTATATTATATGAGAGAGGGAGGGGGGGGGGGTTAACGTCCACTCGACACAAACTAGGTCATTTCGGGACTAACATGGTTTAACTTTATTTCCATAATTCGCTTGCGCGTAGGGGTCTTTAGCAGTGGGAGGAAACCAGAGGACCCGGAGAAAACCCACGAGGCTGGAATATTATATTAGAGTCCAGGACCCCGTTTCACGAAATCTTAACTAAAGATAAAATCCGAATTTTAGTAGATTCTTCAATTTTGATTGGCTAAGCACTAAAATCAATCTAAGGCAACACAAATAAAATAACTTGTTTCTCGGGCACCGCCCGCACGCAAAATTGGTTGCGCGTGCAGTCTATTTATTAGTCTTGATGAAAAAAAATAAATATGTAACGCCCGCCCGCACATCGACAAGCAAGTCGTAAAAAAAATATCCCGCATGTACCTACATCCGCCATACATGTATATCTATTCAAATGTATTAAAACTGATTCAGATGAACATGCTGTCTTTTTTATCCAAACAATGGCGAAGTTTGGCAGATTTGCCTTTTTTATTGATATCGAAAGAACCTCCATTTTGTATCACGTGATATTAATTACCTCCCCTGATAAACTAGAATTTGATTCCTGTTAAAAGTCATTGGCGACAATATTTCAATCATTCGATCGTAATCGGCTCATTATTGCCGGCTTCAGTCGGTCCTTGTTTGGAAAATCCTATTGATAAAATAATGAACCGTAGAACAGGTTAATTAATTATAGCTAAGAATACGATACGATGACGATAGTCGTCATAATGCATACCTTAGAATCTGGGTCATTATTAGCACATTTACGGTACTTTCGATAATCCGGAAAATAATAATTGGATTACCGATTTGATGGTTTTACTGACCAGTTGTTAGTTAGATTTAAATAGTCATTCAATATAAACACCGGATAGAACACCGAATATCCTGAGAAACACACCGAATATCCCAAGAAACAGTATTTCCGGCAATCTCCAATACCGATGACACGGTGTGACATGCATTGGTTGGAATTCGGTAAATAATTATAAATAAACCGGCGATACTAGATTTAGTTTTAAATACTGTTTACCATGATTATTATTTTTGATACACCTGGTGAAAGAGGCTTAGTTTTTAAAAATATTGTTGTCTTTATGGAGGGCTATTACATAGTCGTATGGAATTTTATTTTAAACCAATTTCAATTATGTGAATTAAATATGGAAAATTATTTTCCTTTCAGTCAGTGTTCAGTCTCAGTGTTTTAGTAGACTTGATTTTGGGTTTATGTTTTAAGTATGTACAATAAAGTTGAATATAACGGAAAGCAAAAACGTAAACAAGTAATGACTTTCTCTTTTAAAAAAAAAAAAAAAGAAAGACCGCCCTCCCGCCCCAACAATTTTCAGCAATAGCCAAATTTTATTTTGCACCATCAATGAGTAAAAAAAAAAAAGAAACCGCCCTCCCTCCCTACAGTTTCAGCTGTCAGTTGCCCGAGAAACAAGACATTTATTTTGTGTGGCCTAATATTATCCAATCAAATTACTAAAATTTAGATTTTATCTTAGTTAAAATTGCGTGAAACAGGCCCCTGGTGCGCCATTTTAGACAATAGGAATCACTTGCAAACTACCATAGTGTCAAAGATGAATCTCTAATGTAAATATCAGTCCAATAATGATTTAGCTCTGTATTTACAAAGAGATGTGGATTTGAAATTTCATCGATCTATGCTGCTTTCTATGCAATAAGCCCGCGGTCATTTTGTTTAATAATGATAGGCCTGTTTTGAATTCGATGGAATCCAAGTCGCGCGATTATCTAACGTTGGTATTTTTGTTTTCATCTTGTTTTCTTAATTAAATGTTAAATTGCCAATTTAAGTAGATTTTGAGAAATTTGATATTTTGGCCAATGGAGCATCGTAGGGGCATTAGATAAGATTAGATAAAGAGTTGACAGTTCTCGCTATAATAGTTAAAAAAAAATAGATAATGAAAACAAAATATGTTGAAAATTTCAGCCAAATTGCTTCACTCTGAACCGAGACATTAGCCTAGTCTCGGTCGTCATTACTGAAGTTGGTATGATAGCAAATGCTCGATTTGCATTTTTACGTTAAATTATCCATCACAAAATGTATTCAAATCCAGTAAATATC